TAAATAAGTATGTCTAAAAGCTGTCTGATGAGTTTATATGGACTAAGATAGTTTGATAACGCCGATGTTTAATGATTTTGGATAGTCCCTTTTTCCAACGCACTGGTAATTGGTGTTATCAAAGGATATTTTTGTTTGTCAGTGGCAGGTAAGTTAAATGTGCATCAAAGGAGTTACAAAACCTATGCAGCGTGTTAAATAAAGACATCGGTATGATAAAAAAGTGAATGTTTAATTCGAGCCGGTTGCATTCTGGGCAGAAAAGGGTCTTGGCATCTCATCCTGCTGGTCCTGGACAAGTTGTCTGGACGAGATAGACGAGCAGTTCCGAACGAAGCATAAGTCGGACTCTGATTGGTCACTAGCTTTTGTTTACAAAAAAAAAAAAAAAAAAAAAAAAATGCCATGTCCTCTCATCAGCTGATTGCTTGGGAGCTTTATTCAAGAATTTATAACTACTTATTCTCCTATTGTTTTAGGTGTCTTTTCTCAATGAAATAAACCAAAAGCTAATGGAATAATCGCTATTTTACTATTTCCATTTGTCGTTGATTAGTTAATTAATTGTTGATTAGCTAAATAATCTCATCATAAATTAATGCAAAATGAAACGGCCTTTCCATTAGCTTCATGGTAATCTTTATTTCCTGTTGATAGCTTGAGTATGAAGGGAGTTATGCGAATCTGAAAAAAAATATATATCCTGAGGCCATTTTGGGTCACGACCTCTTTTGTTTTAATTGTAATTAATTATAATGCATTATTAGAACGCAAATGGCCGAATTTGGCTACCCATTAAATTGGCAAAACACACTTAATATTTGCCCCAGAGAGGTGATCTATGGCTCATTTTGAAGGTATTTTCAAGCCCTTTCCTGAAGTAATCAATGTAGGATTCATGAAGATGATTCCTTTTCTCACATACCTACCGGTAGTTGCTGTGGTCCTGTCGATCCTTTTTCCCCTTCCAAAGAGGGATGGAAAGTAAAACAAAGTCACATACTCTGGGAACAAAAATAAATAATTTGAATAAAAAAATCTATGAATTCCATAAATTCTTTTTTCGGTTTTACTGCTTCGTTTTTCTCTTTGATATAATGACGATGTTTTACTCTTACAGTTTAAGAACAAAATAAGTTTGGTGAGTAAGATCTACGATATGTGACAGCTGCTTCGCTTGCCACATATATATCAGCCAATGCATGATTAGAATAAAATAAAATAAAGTAAAATGTATGCGCAGTTACAGTACGTTTTTAAAAAAGCAGATTGAACCGTTTCATCATCCATTTCCGTTTTGTAGCTCCAACAAAGGCTCATGGACAAGGGCGCCAGTAACACACCAACTCACCCAGGGTTCGTTTCCCTGTTCACATGCATAATTCGAATCCTTAGCACAAGGGCGAGACGAAAACAGAGCGAAATCGACTTCCTCTGAACGAGTTATTCTACTTAAAAAGGCAACCGAACTTTTGGACATCGCATAGGACGGAGGTAAGTACTGAAAAATCCTGAAGGTATGAAACGAAAGCAAGAAATGTAAAAGATATGTTCGGTTGCGGGGAGTTGTGTATCTATGCATCCTGTGTTCGGGGTTTGCCACCTTTATAGATAGTCCATGTATGTATTTCTTGCGTGCCCATCCCAGGTGAGACCCGGAGGATGTGAATAATGTTAGTTATTTTTGTTCCATTTCCTTTGATGTGAATTTTTCGAAATATATGGTACAAGTTATTCTGTAATACGTTAATCTCGCATATTTGTTTAAAATTTATCTAGTATGAAATAAGTATATTGATATTCGTTATCCACTATACAAAACAATATATTTAAAATGCAGCATAAGTTAAAATGCAACACATCGTCTAATAAGTGCAGAATGAAAAGTAAACTTTCATATTGCCGTGCATTCGTTCTCCTTACAGGCCTATAACATCTTTACACACCAATAAACCACTTTATACCTCTAGCCACGGCATGCGCATGCCCACCTGCATCGTTGGCATCAAGATGGTCGCGGTGATGGACTTGGCTAACATTTTCTTTTTGGACACTTGGGGCACGGAGGAGGCCAAGCGGGAGTGGCTGGAGACCAAGGGGACGTGCCCATCCACTTCGGGGTGAATACTCATGTTCCACCGGACTTGGCTAACATCCAGGTGAGGAAGGGGAAGTAGGGAGGAGGTGGAGGTTTGGGGAATAGGGACAGTATATGGTAGATGTGTTGGGTGGGGTTGGGGGGCAGGGGGGTTAGAAGGGGAATTTATGCTGATTAGATGTTAGCACGACGGTGCATTGTTGACTGGGGAAATTGGAACAAAATTCCAGTTTAAAGACAACGAACTGTAACGGTATCGTAATAAAACAAAGCAATCATTACATTACTGCCGTAGATTCCTGTCAGGTATTGGAATGCAGGTTAATATAAAATTCACCTAAATATGTAATAGAAAGTTAAATAAAAGAAAAGAAATACGAAGACAAAAAGTAACTTCTCTACCCTCCCCATCACAGGTGTCCTCCAGGAAAGAGTTACTGGTAGGGTTCAGCCTGGCGACACTCACGCTTCTCACGCTCTACCTGTCGTTCATCCTCCCTTATTCGGCCCACACCTCGCACGCGTCTCCAAGATCCCTGCACGCCCACGGCCCACCAACTGGGAGTCAAGACCTTCCACGCCCGCGCGAGGAGGGCGTTCGTCTCGAGGAGGGCGAGGACTTCCCGACGCCCGAGACCCCGAGACTCGAGAAGGAACGACCTGCGTCCAGCCGGAAGCGGAGGCGGAGTCGCTCGCGCCGGGGCCTCAGCCGCTACTTCGAGGCCCTCTGGCGGAGGTTCAAGCACGAGCGGCCGAGTCTGAGCGTCGTCCTCGGCCGCCTGGGAGTGACGAGGATCGAGTGCCAGATGGCTCTTGTGTGCCACGCCCATTTATACTTGATGGACCTACCTGCAGGCGTGAGGGGGTTGTTGGTGATGATTACGTAAGTTTGAGCGGAGAGAATGGTACACACAGAAACGCTCATGTGCACGCCCATTCCTGAATCCACACGACATTAACATCCACACCACACTCGCACTCATACGCACAAAAGAGAAGTGAAAGAGAGAAGTGTAGACTCATCCTGAGACGCATGCCATATAATCCCCCCACACTTATGCGTCCCCCTTAATCCCATTCAACAGGAGCCGATTCTCCGACTTGGCGCAATACGAAGAAGGGATTGTCACGGGCCTGGGGGGCGGGACCTGCGACAACTTCTACCAATCAGAAAACAGCATTTGCCCTGATCCTTATGACGTCATCTCAGATTTCCTTGGAAGACATGTTCTGCACGAGTTTTAGACCTTTCTCGGGAGACGAAGTTCCAGTAAGTGCGGTATCTCTTGCACACTTATCTTTGGTTTTGGTAATACAGAGAATGTTAAGCAGCCATATTTTTTCATTAAGTATTCCATGACAAAATTACCTTCGATGCCATTATGGCGACAAAGATTACATAGGCCTTCCAAAATATATAAAATCGGATAGGAAATGTTGGCATTTGCTTTCAACCAGAAAGACGTAATTGACCCACTACACTAGCCAACCTAACTGCCCACCCAGCCCAGCCCAGCCTAGCCTACTCAACCCTACCCTATGATATACTACAATACAATACACCCATTTTTGTTCATTTCCAAATTCTTTGAAATCTAAACAATGTATTACACTTGGAGAACCCGATAAGCGTATAAACCACTCATTGCGAAAAAAAAAGAACATATTCCAAGGTAAACCGGCTTATGAGAAGGAGAACGATAAAAAAAACATGAATGAAATGAGTGAATGGAAACGAAAGGAACTATATGAACAAAAAACAACGTAAGGACACAAGTAATCTGCACTAATAACGTTGATAGATATCCACGCATGCGCACACACACGGATATATGTGCGTGCCGTTTCTAATCATACACATGTGTTTGATTCATAATTTTTCTTTTTCTTTACTGTTGCTGTTTCCCCGTTTATGACGGTTTTATCCATGACGTAGTCTGCTTTTAAGATTGCGAGTTTTGAAAATATGCTTAAGAAAAGAATACTAAAACATGGGTGCATAAAAGAAAGTAAAACAAGATAATATAACCTGAAAACATAATATGGAACAAAAACGATAAACATACAATGGAGCGAATAAATAACAACAAAAACAAGAAAATTGGAAAAAAAACAAGTCAAGATAAGCTCAGATATCAAACTGGGATGGTTCTTAATGTATATTCCTTCTTTAGTCCTGTATAGTTTAAACAATAACCCAGAAACCGACACAACGCTGAAACGAAAAAAATTCTCGTCCTGTTGCTGTCTAAAGTCCCGGTTGTGAGAATGCGCATGCACCGAAGATTATTGTTAAGAAATGCATAAATTAATCTTAAAACACGGAATGAAAGCAAAATAGCATGGGAAGAATACATTAAAAACAATTACGCATTCAGTGTAGTATATTTCCTCGCATTGAAAACAGAATGAGCTACAAAAGTTGGGAATATGCTATCGTTTCTGATCTTAAACATATAGCACTTAAACGTATGGGAAGCATTTGTACATATATTGCCATATAAGTACTTTGTCTTGTGCCATCTTTTCCGGTTGATTACTTTTTGAGTTCTCCTTATTATCAGTATCGTCAGTATCATTATCATGATTATTATTACCTCTGCCAAAGAGGCTATGTTTTGGGTAGCTTGGTTTGTTTGTTGGTTAACAGGATAATCCAAAAGTTTGAACAGATTATTATGATTTTTTTACCAGAGGTGTGTCATAAATAGTAATAATGATAATGACGATAATATAGTAACCAGAACACTCAGAGAGAGATCACCATAGATCTCCCTACAAATTCCCACTTTCTATGAACAGTTTATATTCCTACATATAGAGAGATCACTATAGTTCCCCCTCCAAAATTCCCACTTTCTAGGAACAACTTCGGAATCACAGACAACGGAAGTAAACACAA